AGAGATTCGAAAGTTTCGAAAGTGAGGGTTGATAGATCGTTGCTCGATTTTCGTAAAGCAGCGGAAATATTCCCTATTAATAGCTAGTGCTTCGCGATACTTTGTAAAAAAGAAAAGATCTGTAAAGAGTGTTCTGATAAAATCGTCCATCAAAATGTTAATTTATCGCACGTATTTGATTTTCTCGCTGAAAGTTCTTGAATTTTCACGTAGAAATGTTTTTTAGTCTTTTGGCACAAGCTTTCAACGCCATGACGCATCTAAGTCTTGCGTCGAGCGTTTCTCGTCGATATACGGTAATCAGATTAAGTCGCTACGAAGATGTTCTCACAATGGAAGTCGCATGTTTATTCGCGCACAGTCGCACAATTGATGAGATGATTGTGTATTCAGGGACATGTTTTTTTTTTTGGCACTTTACTCGCATTCTTCTTTCTTTATATAAGATGAGCGTATCGTGGGAGCGATGGCATGCTCGATGCAATGAAGATCGTATAAAAAATCGTTGGAACATTGCTATCGATTAAAAAATTTTTTACCGATCGGCGTAATTCTGGTTCGATCGTTTGTTGTATAATAAGTCGAAGAATGTCTGTCTCGTAGATTACGGCGTAGATTATTGGCGAAATAAAAAAGAAATGTCGAAACTCGTGACGGCCGGAATAAAATTATCACGATCATCACATTCCGCTTCGCGTTATAATCGACATGATCGACGGCCGTCGGCTTGATTATTCGAAACGCGCGTTAAAAGTTTGAAGATCCAATATCACACAACGACCATTCCGCCTCATCGTCACGTTTTCGACGACACCGGAAACATCGTCGACACGAACTACACGTCGTTTCGTCGGGCCGCGCGATTATTAGCTGTAGATATTGGTGCAAGTCGACACGGTTTTCATCTCGATGTCATGTTGAGCGGTCTCTTTACAAGACTCCTTCGCCTTCTGCTACGAGCTGAGAGGTGGTGGGCCAATATTACTTATGAAACTCGGACAAGTGTTCTCCGCTCTGTCGCCGCTCTGTAACGAAAAATGCCTGTACGACATGTACTCCGGCGGATTCGCGGACAACGGCTGATCTCGCTTGGCCGTCGCCCTCTGCTTCTTCATTTTCATGTAACCCAGTACGGAAATCAGCACCACGAAGACGACGAAGCCCATGCAGCTACCCACAATCAGGCCCAGCCGTCTCGTGAGCATGCTCGTCAGGCTGCCTCTGTCGCTCACCGTCCCGTCACCCACTATCGAATCGGGCGCGTCCAAAGTTCGGACATCCGTGCAACGGCTCGTAGGCGAGTTTACCATCATTGGCAACGCCGACCCCTCAATCACGTCGTCGTGTGAGGCGTTCCACTGCCAAGAGCCGATGTCCTCTGGGATCGGCGTGCCCCAGCTGCCTAAGCCGAGCACGCAGATTAGGTAGCGCGTGCCAGACGCTAACTTCGTCAATCTTACGGAACGTGCCTTTGGATCCAGCAACTTGCCTCGTACCTGAAACGTCGGTGAAAACATTGCCATCAGCATACATAGATTTTTGCTTTTGCGCCGGATTTTAATAATTAAATGTAAACATTTGGCGAAACAATGCAACACGTGTTTACTAGTGAATTTCATTACAAACACATATTCTAATTATTATTTTTAACGTTATATTTTAATGCCGTAATTTTTTTCAAAGATGTAATGTATAAATGGAATATTACATCAACAGTGTAACTGCATAAATTTTGCAAATTGCTACAGAAATTTTTACAATACAATAACTAAAAAATTTTTAATTATATATGTTAAATAATAAACAAGAATAATTTTAGATAACACTTTACTATATTTTACTGAAGAATTTTTAATTTCTAAATTACTGGATAGCGTAAAGCTGAGTTTTTATAGCTTTATATTTTCTTTTATCTAACATAGTAATTTTCCTGGCGCAATTGCAAAAACTCTTACCGTCGACGTTGTCCAAGGCGTGATATGCCACTTGGTATCCATGGAGGCCGGAATGATTTCTGCTCTGCCACGATACAAGAACAGAGAAGGGCTGAATGTCCTGAATTGCGAGTTTCAAGACCAACGGAGCGGAACAGAAAGCGTGGGGGTCAAGATCGAGAAAGACGAGGCCCCGGAGTTCGGGCGGCTGCTCACATCTTAACAAACCGCCCTCGACGTCACCGACTCCGACACCATTTCTTCCGCGGCTACGACCACCGCCGACTCCGCTCACCAATTTCTGATGATCTCGTAACCATTCCCACAATTCTTGCGACTCGCAGCCACAATGTAAGGGATTCTCTGTCAATGAGACCAAGACGAAATTCGCTATTGTTTGCAAGATTGCACTCATCAGCTTAAAAAGTGAATTGATTAACGATTTAATATATCAGAATATTCAATTATAAATATATATTTTTTATATACTGTTATTATTCATAAAAAAAACTTGATGATGCTTTTTAACTATTTCACGGAAATTTAACTTATAATTAAAAACTCATATATTATAAATTTATTTCGTTTATTCACGCGCGCCGTAATTTATTAAAATAATCGCAAATCTCACGCATTGATAATAATTGAAATTTATAAATATTCCGATTTAATGCTTTCCAATTAGCATAAAACATATCTGTACGATTTATAAATGAATGAATTAATGAGACGATATTTATCGCCGTGTAATAATATATTGTTTCCAATTTTTTTACAAATTTAGATGAAACGTATATACTCCGAAATATGTTTTAAAGTGTTCGGAAAATGTTAAGACACTGCGAGAGATTAGTTTGCGAAATGTATCGGAGAAAATGAGACATAGTTGTGCGAACTTGTTTGATTGTTTCGATGTTGAATATTGATTTGAGACAACAATACGTGACTGGCGATATGATTGATTTTCAAGTAGTAGTAACTTTAACCGGATCGATAGCCGCCGTGTATATGGGAAAATGCTTTCTACCGTCATCGTTCATTTGCGTTTGAATTGAATCGTTGCTTTCGAAAAAAATATGAACAAGCGTGTGCAAGCGCGACATTAATTACAAGTACTAGGCGTGTCTAAGTAGCTTACCTTCAGCCCGCAGACTCCTTATTTGTGTCTCGAGTGGTCGGAAAGCGTTCAGCGGCAGATTCTCTAAGTAATTTCTACTCAAGTCAAGTAGACGTAGCTTCTTCAGAGGTCTAAACGCCTCACTGGAAATGGCGTTTATCCAGTTGCCATAAAGATGCAGCTCGATCAGGCTAATTAAATTCTTGAATGTCACTTTGCCGACAATGCCGATCTGATTGTAAGACAGGTCCAATATTTGAAGAGACTTGAGATCCTCCGGGAATTCTTCCAGCTCTTCAGACGGTTGTGCGTTAAATTGAGTATACGTAGATGCTCCATGCCCTGCAGCCTCTCTTTCGGTAAGATCTCCAAACTATTCATGCCGAGATGAAGAGTGAGTAAATTTGGTAAACTTCGAAACGCGCCCGGCGATACGCGAAGAATGCAATTCTGTCCGAGATAGAGATGCAAGAGCGCCGGAAAGGCTTCGAAGTCCTGCGAAGTTACTATACTGAGATTGGTGCCGGATATGTGCACTTCTTGAAGAATAGGATACATCGCCTCCGACGGTAGATCGTGGATTCTGTTTAAAGGATTTCGGGTGAGATTCAGCCACGTCAGACCAGGCAGATTCTGACCTGAGAGAGCTACCGCGGGTATTTGTCGAAATTTATTCTCCGACAGGTCCACTCTGCGCAACAAGGACGAATGCGCGAAGAAGTTCGCCGGCAGCGCATTCAAGTTATTGTGACTGAGATCCACGGATATTAACCGCGACAGATTGGCCATCGCGAAGCCGGACATCGTCTCGATCTTATTGTGGCTCAGATCCAACTCCCGCAGATGCTTGAGACTGGCGAAACTCGCCATGTCGACGTTGAGAATCTCGTTGGTGGACAACGTGAGGATTTCGAGATTGAGCGCACTCGCCAGCGCCGAGTACGGGATGTCCTGCAGTCGATTGTAATCCAGTCGTATTTCCCGCAGCGACAATAATCGATCGAAAATGCCCGGCGGCAGAGTGCGCAGGTGATTCCGATTCAGATGCAAACGCGCCAGATTTCGGTTCAGCACGAAGATTGTCTCCGGTAACTGACTTATCTGCGAATCGTCCAGGAAAAGCTCTTGCAAGGACGGCAGCCCGTTGAAACTGTGCTCCGTGATCTGACTGAAATTGTTGCCGGACGCCGCGAGTGTACGTAAACCGGAAACATGCAAGTGCAGCAGCGCTGACGCCGTAAGAAGATTGTCGTCCAAATTGAGATCGAACAGATTATTAAGTCCGCGAAAGGCACCGTTTTCTATCGTGGTTATCGAGCAGTTCTTCAAGTTTAGCGTTCGGATCGGTAGGTCCTCTTGAAAAATTGCATCTTGCAAGATGGTAAGATAATTGTTCGCCAGATCCAATACTTTTAGTTTCTTAAGAGCCGTGAGCGCATAAGGATCAAGTCTTCTTAAGCCGTTATCCTGCAAATACAGTTCCTCCAGCTCGTGCAGCTCAGAAAAAGTCCTCGCCGTTACGTGACTCAGCTTGTTCATGCTCAGCTCGAGAAACTTCAAAGCCTGCATCGGTTGAAAAGCCGCGTCTTCGATCTTGGATATGGAATTGTTCGTCAGATAAAGGCGCTCCACTAAAAGAAGATCCCTGAAGAGGGGCGCCTGCAGGTGTGTCAGCTTGTTGTGACCCAGCCACATGATACGAACGGACGCCTGGCCGCGCAGAGAATCATTGTGCAACACGGCCAGGCCGTTGCTGTCCAGCTGAATGGACACCAAAGAACTTCCGCCGGAAGACGATTCCGACGCTGAGAGCTGAAAGACGTCGCCGAGCATGGTCAGCTGATTGCCCTGCAGATTAACGTGCTGCAGACTATTGAGTGTTCTTAACGCGCCAGTCTCCATCGAGGTGATGGCGTTGTTTTGCAGATGAAGTTCCAGTAGCGCCGGCAGCGGCGTGAAAACGCCACGCTTCACTTCCGTTATATGATTATCCTGCAGCCGCAGCTCGCGCAGTTGATGCAGCTTAAGGAAGGTGCCCGGCTGCAACTCGCGGATCTTGTTACCGTCCAGGGAGAGCGACGAGAGGTTTTCGCAATGCTCGAGGAATTCCCGCGGCACCTTCTCGATGTAGTTGTTACTCAGATGCAATTGCGCCAGCTGCGTGAGACTCGTGAGACCCTTGGCGTCGATCCTGCGGATGGCGTTCTGCTGGAGATATACGACCGCGAGGCTGACGCTGCCGGCGAATGCATCTCCCGGGATCTCGAGAATATTGTTTTCCGCCAGATAGAGTTCCCTCAGCTCGGGTAGCCTGGCGAACACACCACCGATATAGTGAATGTGGTTATGGCTAAGTTCGATCGTGCGCAGCCGTTCGTTCCCCTTAAATGTCGCGACGTCGAGGAAGACTATTTTGTTGTGACTCAAATCGATCGACTCTAGATCTTTCAGCGACACGAACGCGTCCTTGTGAACAGTCTCGATGGAATTGTAGTAGAGCGATAGGGTGTGAAGGATAGGACAAGGTCGGAAGCAGTCTTCGGACAGTTTCTCGAAATTGTTGCTACTCAAATCGAGAATCAGCAGAGCGCTGAGAAGACTGTAACCGTCGTCGGGTAGTTCGGATATCTCATTCCACGCCAACCTAAGCGACGCCAGGCTCTCTAGCCTCCTCAGGGGAGCCATTGGAAATAGTTTCAGTTTGTTTTCGGCCAGATCTAGATCGCTGAGGCTGTCTTCGAGGCCGGCAAACGCGTATTCGGAAATTTTCGATATCTGGTTTCCCTTCAGAGTCAGCTTCATTAGTTTCAAGCCGTAAAAGCAGTAGGACGAGAGATCTTGTATCAGATTCGTCTCGAGATCTAAGGCGGCCAACTTTCGTAAATCGGCCAGTGATTTTTGAGGCACATGGGGCAGACGCCCGGAAACCAGTGCCAAAGATTCCAAGCTATCTTTCAGGTTCGTGAACGCGCCCTCGCTCACTTCCCGCAAAGACGAATGTGATATTTGAAGATGCCTGATTTGTGAACCGGGTGGAAAAGCACCCTCTTTTAGCTCCTCGATGCTTTTGTCCAGCTCGTAAACGCTCAACGACTGTACCATCGTGCCCGTGCCTGAAAATGGTCGTAAAGGGCAAGGCCATTAATTTCGCTGAATCGCGATAACATAAACTTCGAGTTTGGCAACATTGGCTGATTGCACGTTTCATTAGTTTTATGGCGTGTCAAAGAAAATAGTTTTCTCCTAAACGCGTTATTCACTTCACATTGTGAAATTATATGAAAATGTTGTAAGAAAAAACGAGCGCTCTTTTCACACATAAGTGTAGTTCGATACTTAATGAAGTGCGACGAACAAATTTAATAGATTAGTCAATCGATAGAGAAGGTGACTTTTAAAGTACCTTTTAAGAATATTGCTAAATATATTCACATCTAAATAATTTTTAGAAAAGTTATCTTGTAATTCGGATAATATGATTAATATTAATTTTGAAATATTTTCTTTAACTTTAGCAAATGCATTTCAAGATTCACACGACTGCAAATATTATACATTTATAATTAGATCGTGCATGTTGTGGATTCTCGCCACGTTGTCGCTATAAATCTGTTTAATGGAGCTTGTTTCATAGTAAATGAAACAGCGTAGCTTAAGACGCGTTAGAGAATGCAGCTACAAGTGCATCAATGTGCATAGATATGCATAAATGTATCATCGTAAATATCAGAGATGGAAATTGTTGATGAATATTTGTCGCAAAATTAAGTTTTAATATCAATTATTATATAATTTTATGATATAAGTAAAACAGCTTTGCGATTTCACAAAGTTTGATTTTTTAATAAATGTTTAGTTAATGATTTTTAGCTTTTCGCTCTTTAGTATTACTTACCGCTCGTACTTAGCACGCCTTCTAGTGTGGTTTTTAGAGTCTCTTCCGTAGCGCCAGCGCATTCCAGGAAGAGACCGTCTTCAAAATTATAGCAGGGACAGCCCGGAATTGTTTCCGACGGCGGACATTCCGCTATCTGAGCAACGGCTTTAAATGTAACGAAATTCTGAATTAATAGGATCTGGAGAACCATCCTTGAGATCCGCCAATTTACAGCGCAAGGATGGTTTTCCCGTCGTTGCGGATCTCGCGTCATCTTAGCGTCACATCCGTAATCTCGTTTTCCGCCTGACAGACCGCAAAGAGTTTTCTGAAACATAAAAATCACAAACAAAATTAAAATCGATGAATATATATTTTACGTTACGCGAAAATTGCAGTAATAATAATTTTTTTAAAAATGTTGCAAGGTGCAAATTTTGCTCACTCTTTGAATTCATCGACATTCTATTTTTCTCTTCTTCAGTTACAATTTTATTTCTATGTTTGTATGAAATAGTGAATTAAAGCACTATTGGTTCCGTTAAAATTTTCCTATTTCACTGACAAATATTTACGGTTGCCTTTGCCGTGAGATATTCTTGTCTGAATAAATCTACGGAGTAAAGTTAAAGTTCGCTTGCCAGGCACTGTGCAGCGCATGCTGGAGCATGTTTACGAAAAAGTACGGCCAAGCTCTCAGAATAGTGCGAATAGCTTCCTTGAATAACAAAGAGTGCACGTCTCGCTAAGACGGAGGTGCATACGAATATACGGGGACATAAAAATTATTTGACTTGTATTTAAAAAAGTCGCGTTTTCTCTGTAGGTTTTAGTGACATTCACTTTTCCAAATAGCGCGAAGAAAGTTTCTTTTGTTAAAATAATGGTGTATCATAAAAATGAAATAAAACAGGTTTTAGAACGTCTTTTATATAAAATATTTTTTCATTTAATTGTTTTACTTTAATTATTAATGTATTCAAATTTTTATTTAAATGAAAACGTTGTTGGTAATATTAGAAACTTTTTCAACTGTACTTTTGAAGTTATGGTAGAAGTTTGGTACACAGAACTGCTGTTAGTGAATATAACATGAGATGAAGTTGCATACACACACAAAGATGATGTTCTTAATTCGAAACTATCTATCAAGGGAGTACTATTCAAATAGTCACCGTCGGCGATGCCGGTTGTCAACAATGCTAACGAGTTCTCTAGATGATGTTCGATTTGGATGTACTGAAAATACATAGCATGCTAGTAAATTGTCATTCGTGAAATGCGCTTTATTTGCATCTATTTTTTCGCTCGGCGAATATTAAGCTCTGATTAACATATATATTTGAGAAAAAATATCTTTTGTCATATTTCTGAAATATCGATCAAAACATGTATTTCTAAAGAATTTCATGTTCTTTTATACACCGTGATAGAAAGTATTTATATCTAAAGTCTATCCGACTACATTTATTGAAAATAAAAATACTATAACAAACGTCTTTTCTGGTACGGCGAGTTTCATGCATAATAAGGAGGAAGTAAGGAGACGAATATCTACAAAGCTCTTTACGCGTAATCGTACGGCGCCAATGGCCGGTTCAGAAATCTGTATCACAAAGACGATGTCTAGACTGAATCGATTTTTCACAAGCATCAAGCCGCGATATCGCGCCCATTCACGCCCAACTGAATTCACGAATGCCTCTTCCTTCTGACCCCGCACCGCAGGATCGCGGCACGAAAAGCCTCAATAGCCGCACACCATTTTCGTCTACATCCACATTTGCGCTTCCGTAGAGTGTCGACGAGCATTACGATCGTGCGGTAAAACACACAACGACGTTTCACGAGATGTGCGTGCCAAAGATTTTAAACTCGAATTCAGGCGTGTGTGTGTGTGTGTGTGTGTATGTGTGTGTGTGTGTGTGTGTGTCTTACCGGAAAGTATACTCGGAAGAGATTTTTGATAAGATCTTTTAAGAAATACGATTAGCCAACTCTTACAAGAGCTGAATGTGCAAATTGTACTATTTGTATGTGTTATACAGCTTGGATCTATTTGAAAAATATATTAAGACATTTTTATTTTTATTATTATTATTTTGCGGAAATTTTTTAAATTTTCGTACATGTTATAAAATTTCTTGGCAAATAAATTTTAAATAAAATACTTATTATAGCGATATAAGCAAATAGATAGTGATTCCGGTAATACACGCCCATATAATACACACACTCAGGAGTACTGCGACGGCGCGGTAAATGAGTCTTCGGCAAGACTTGGAGGGTAATCGCATCGGATTTTCCCTCTCTTTATTTACTATTGAGCGAAAGAGTTGCTGTATTTTCGATTATTTCGAAGCGAGCGATTAAGGGCGGAGATTCACTTGGAATTCAAGAACCGTTTTCAATTTAAGCATTAATCTTTGTAGTGAAACGCCGGTTCAGCATTATATCGGAAGCTATCGTTCCTTAAGTATTTCGATCGAGTGACTGGGCAAACTCGCCGGCGCCCCGATGCCATGTGCCGTGCTTTTCTATTTCCATTGCGCCCTTACCGATCGCGCGGAATATGTTGTTCGTAGGACATACGCTGCATTCCCGGCACGAATTGCCATAAATGCCCCGTCCTCGAGGAATCCGGTGTGCGACGCGCCATTAGTAAACTAAGATATCGCGGTTACGTGAAGCTTCTCAATTCGGATTATTGGCACCCGGTATTTGATAGAATTGAGTCATGGCAATAAATGGATTAGCGGACGATCAATTTGAGTAAGCGAGCGCTGACGAACGTGCCTGACGCGTAACAGCATTTATGGAGATGACTGAATGTGCTTTACGACTACTATTGTTTAAGAGACTAATTGATGTGAAATAATAATTACACTTACTCGTCTCTATTTTATACATATATTCTTATATCAATGAAGTCTCTTTTATCATATCTATCAAAGCATACATTTGCAAGATAATCTTTGTTTTTTACGGTGCATTACCCGTTGTTACGTCACAGTAAGCGTTCGTCAATTAACAACTTTGAAGTTATTAAAAGACGCTACTGCGTAGAGAACAAACCCGTCTAATCGAATGAGAACTTCAAAGCACGCTCTTTTCAAGCCGACATGGTAGAGGATTATAACTCGTGTGAGGAGAAGAAGGTAGTTGTGAATTCAGTAGAAAATGCGCTTTACGAGACATACATCGTTTCGATCCAAGTGTACGGCTATATACGTACTCCTTGAGAGCATACTCAGCGCTTCATGCAACACCGGCGGTAATAAAGCGCGAAAACGTTTCGCCGCTGCTCCGTGGCGCTGTTTTAACGCGATGAAAACAGTCGGCGCGCTTCCGCGCGAGGAAAAACGAATGTGTCTCTTTCAGCGCGTCCATTTCCTCGTCAGAACCTCTCGCCCTGCCCCAAAGAAATTTCAGCAATGGAATTAAAAGGTTTAAGCGCACCAAAAACGTTCTTCATCTTTTCAATTCTTTGTTACATTATTTGCCTCTGCCTTGCTACGTTTCTCTAAAAGATAAAAGTATTTAAAGAATTTAGTGAAAATTTTAAAAAGTTAAAGGAAATTGCAATAAATATAGTCACTATATTTCTTACAGATAACAAAATGTATCTGGAATAAATTTCTATTGCAAATTTATTCAACTATAGTTCTTAATTTATTGAAGAAAGTGTTTTTGATAATATATAATAATATTAGCTCTCGATTGTTCTCGATTGTTCTCGATTTCATAGAAATCTTCCTTTATTACTGCATAATGTTCTATCAATTCACTCTATTGCGTAGCTGCTGTTTGACGTGAAAACTTGACAATATCTGTTGAATTTCGCAATTTGCATTAAATCGATTTAGGAACAATAACATATTGTAATTTCGAAACTATGTTTCGATAAGGTAATGATGTTTTACGCCACCCCATTAGCTAGGTATTTGCACAACACGACTTGTGAACTTCATGGTTCGATTAGTAGTCGCTCTTTTCGACACGCTGCTGTGTCAACAACATGTATGCGCATGCATATTAATCACTTGACGAAGTGCTTTGGCATCCTGTAGTTACACTGAGGATTAGTTGCTGGGAAATGCTTATTAATAATATACCGATACAATTGATTTCATATTACAAGAAAAGTGTTAGCTCTTTGCTATGAATCATTTATTCCAAATAATCCATATTGCAATTAACTTAGTAAATTTTATGCATTCAACAAGCGACGCGATAAAATAACACACTTTATCGCGATATTAACCTTAACGTTTACGATTCTCCGCGTATTTAAGACAGAGTAATCAATTTTCTGCATACTCTCTGGCAGTGTCAGTTGGAACTCTACATCGTTTTTACAGCAGATGGTAGCTATTGTATCGCGCTTGTCATCGTAAACTGCGCATAATTTCAAGAATATGCGGTTCTCATATAAAACCACGGTCGCGATCTATATATATACATCTTCTATATATATATATATATGTGTGTGTATGTGTGTGTGTATATATAGACGATGTCATAAAATCGGTAGCAGTGCCCGCGATATGTTTCTCCCCTCACAAATTCAGAGTGCGCCTTGAAAGATTACCTACCTACCCTCTTCCTGTAGTAGCTTCCCCATGCGTGCCATGACTTATCCAGAATGCCACGCAGTATTCTGTGCATTCGCAAAACTTGTTTGCCACATATTACATTTGGCGGTTAAACGTACCATGAACTAAGTTCGTTTATCAGAGCGTTCAAGCGATTTGATTGCAAATCACGTGTGCGAAAACTTCAGAGGGACTTTTTATCGCGTAAATACACATACATAAGCGCACACACGTCGGCGGATTTTCTTAATATTGCGAAATAGAGGTTAAATATAGCGTGTTGGACACACAAATATAATATCATCACATGAATGGAAATATGTGGAACAGCGAGAAATGACAAAGTTATTGAACAATATCGAAGATAAATTACCCGTCGGAATATATGCGAATGTTGCGAGTATAAGCGGCAACTAGTTATCCGCGATCGTAATTGATAGAAATCTGTGTAATAGTGCATGAACTGTCGTAGGCACGAATAGTGCTTTGCACGGAATATTAAGGTCAGACAGGCACATTTGCTGGAGCATTGCGATAATAACCCACGTTAAGTTTGATTGGCACTAATATAATTATTCTGACAATTAAGCTTATTAAAGATATTTCTTATTAGACTTTATTTATTATTAGTTGTGTGGCTAGTATTTTATTATTATATAATTATGATTTATTTCTCCGTGGAGTATGTTATATATATAACTTTTAATAGCATTTTATATAATTAATTTTTAATGATAAATTACATTGCGCATGTGAAACGTGTTTTTGAGCTTGAATATGTGTATTGTTGTTTAAAAAAAATATGCGCGTACATAAAATTTAATAAAATGTTTATTTTGATTGCAATTGAGCGGGAAAACAATCAAGTTTTGCACTTTGTGTGGAAATTGTACATGTAAAAAAATATAATTAAACCAAGCATCTAAATAAAATCAATAACCAACCAAATATATAATAAATCTAAATAAATCAAATAAAGCATCTAAATAAAATCAATAATCAATCAAAATAAAATAGAAAGGGTTGAATACGCTTGTATAGCGAGTGGAGTGTATCATGTGTAAAATTCACTACTACACGAATAATTGATTTTCTCAGAGGAAAGATCTTAGAACATGTTACTTGTTTTCTCTTGTTCGTAATGATACTTGCGATTTATATGTCGATAGTAGTGTATGAGTTTTTATTAAAATATATTTTCTTTGTATATGGTGAATGATAACGGCATTGCCCTAGGGATGTTACGTAGAGTATCTTTTCGGTCGTTGTAGTGGAAAACTCGCTCGTATAACGCTAGAGGAATATGTTTTACATATTCCGTGTATCTCTCACGTGTTTATCTCTTAAAAATATTATTTTGAAATAATCTAGATTACGAAATAAAAGAGCAATAATTGAATTTAATTTAATATCTATTTTTTCATCTACATGTATTCAAAATGGCTGTCTTGCAAATATTTTTTTTTGTGAATATCTTTTTGGAAATATTTTTATATTTAAAAATATGTTTGCAATAAGCAATTTTATTTTTATTAAAAAAATTAAAAGAAGTTAATTTAATTTAAAATAAAGCATTCATATCGTATGCTATACGCTTTAATATGTATCAGATTTTATTTATAAATTATACTAATCAAGAGAAAACGACTATATATATGTAAAAGTTTGAGAGGTGTGTAAAAATTTATAAAAGTTATAAATCTTAATAAAAATAATTAAATTAGTGTCAAGATTAAATACGTATTTGAAGGATGGATTAAGGATATTTGTCAGAATCGCTCGTCAGATAAATACAGTTTCAAATCGAGAACTATTTAGTTAAAGCGTACATCACGTTCATTTCGTCAGACGTGGACGGACTTTCTTTAAAATGGTTGATCTCCCTGCAGGATCTCTTTTGCTCACAGAATCCGACTGCTTGCGGATATTGCTTCTCTGTGCATCGCCTTTTAACCGGTTTACCTTGTTCCTCCGCGAGAGGAAAGCAAAGCCGGGCTTGCTAGCATCGAAGAAGCTACCAATTTCCGCAGCGCCTATCCTCTTTCGAACGTTTTCACTTCGAGGATCCCCGCTAGAAGTAGCTGCGAGGAATCTCTGAAACTGCTGGGTTAAGTGAATTCGAGGTGTCCCGGCTCGGATTACCACCTTCCAATTTTGCCGTCTTCGGCGGCTAACGGGGGCAAGAATTCGCTTCAGATCTAGAATCGCGATCGTCTCAAGATTTGCGTGATTCGAAAGGCAGAGTTTATCTAACTTTGCATTATCAGCCGGGCTTACGCGGCTTGATCTTGAAAAGGGGATCGCGCACTCGCGAGAGATTTCTCAAAGAGCACCCTTTTTGCCGGTGTACTAGATTGCCATAGGACCTCGATTGCATTTATCCCTTCATGAATAATTGCTGCCTTAAGAAAATCCACAAAGAGCTTTCGTTCATAAAATACCCTATTTTTGATGGAACATTAATCTATAATATTTATGGAATTATGTACGAATATAGTAAAGTTTGCCACAAAATGTTTTATCGTTATCTTTATCATTACAGCTGATCCAATTATAAACTGTGTGATATATATATGGAGAAAGTTTTATATAAAAAATTACTGTGTACGGAAGTAGTCGCGGAATGGAGGAATTATAAAAATTTTTATTATGTTTTTTACATAATGGTCATAGTATTTAAATTTATAATAACTTTTATGGTTTGCGATTACTGCCGTATCATAGTAATTTTTGAAATAAAATTTTTTCTATGTACAGGTTAAAATTTTTTCTATGTACGTGTTCCAGACCATATCATCCATTAATAGCAGATTTCGAAGGCTATTTGAAAATGAAAATCTTTATACCAAAATGTTAAGGCTATGATAATTTTTAAATGATAAATGTTTATAGTTGATTAATCAAATTGTTCAAAATTTACGCTATATTGATTTTATATCGTTATCATGTGAGAAAAAAATTAGTTTGTACAAGACATTTTGTACATTTTGCACATTTTACATTATCTTTTAATTAATTTTTAAAATGATTTTAAAAGAAAATCAAATAGATTGACTTACCGGCACGATGCGCAGCAGCAGAGTTGTTCACAAGTTTATCTGTAACATACAAAGTACATCCAAATTATAGTAGCGATTAAAATAATTTTTTATTTGAGAAATAATTATTAAAATATTAAACACATACATTAAAGTTTTATTTATTTTTTTTATATATATTTAAATATCTAATAAAAAATTATATATTTATATTTAACAACTATAAATATTAAAAATTGTAAACGTTTTACTGAATATTTCAAAGTTTCTATGCGTGTTACATTACATATTTAACGTATTATTCTGCAAATAACAGATAATAAATAAATTATTACTTATCTTAAAGCTGTTTCGCCGGCACTCAATGCTCTTTCTGAGCCTTCTCCTCCTTTCAGTCTCCCTTGCAGTTTTTCAAGGCACTCACGACGCGTTCGCGATGTGAATACGAAAATCGTACGGTGTTTTAAACGGGTACTTTGTTGTTCGGACAAAGTAAAACTCGAATATCATCGCACGGATTACACGTTCGATACTGCCGCGTATAACGATGGAAAAGATGAGATCGAAAACTACGGGAAATAAAAGGATAGTACTATCGAAACGGAACGATCTGCCGCGTACGAGGTTCTGCTGTGTGCATGATAGAGATACAATAAACATATCAAGGACAAAGTCGCGCTGAAATCGGAATTGAAATCGAGGTGCACTGATCTAAGCCAACTTTATTCTTGATATGTTTATTGCGTCTTTGTCGTTCGCACGGCGCCACTTTCCACAAGGCAAATTGTTCTGTATCGGCGCGTTATTTCTTTTCATAGTACTATCCTTATTATTTTCCATAGTTTTCAATCTCATCCTTTCTTACTTGTTACGGATGCGGCAGTGTCGAATGTGCAATCCGTGCGATGATATTCAAGTTTTATTTTGTTCGAATGATAAAATACGTGTTGGGAGTGTCGTTTAAAATATCGTGCAATTTTCGTATTCGCGTCGCGAACGCGTGCTTGGAGAACTGCAAAGAGGACTGAGAACGCTCAGAGAGAACTTCGGGTGCCAGTGGAGCAACTTTAGAATAAGTAATTATTTATTTCTTATCTGTTATTTGCAAAATATTGCACGTAAAATATTATGTAATGTAATGCACGTAGAAATATTCAGTAAAACATTTGCAATTTTTAATATTTATGATTATTAAATACAAATATATAATTTTTTAATTAGATATTTATATAAAAGAGATGAATAAAACTTAAATATGCGTAATAATTATTTCTGAAATAATTATTTCTCAAATAATTATTTTAATCATTGCTGAAATTTGGATATACTTTGTACGTTACAGATCAACTGTGAACAACTCCGCTGCTGCGTATCGTGCCGATAATCCCATTTGTTTGCTTTTAAAATAATTAAAAAGATAAATTTAAAAATAATGTAAAATAAACAAATGACCTTTAAAATCTGCTATTAACAGGATATATTTGGTCTGGAACACTTTGTGTATATGTATTTGGCATACAGTTAATTAACGTAATTTATTAATTGTAACCAAATACTCGATGTATTTTTCATAAATAATATATTTGGTTACAGTTAATAAATTATTTATAAGACAAAATTAATTTTTATTATTAATGATTCTTTGTATTAAGAATTATTGTCATATAATACAATATAACTTTAATAAACTTTAGACTTACAATTACTTTTCGTACTGACACGTGCTGATGCGATGTCTTGCGTTATATATTCACATCGTAGGCGTAGTTTCAAACAAGTTCTGATCTGTTTGTGTCGAAATTATGCAAAAGTATGTTACGCAATATTCTGTGTACGACTTAGTATAATATACGCATTATTTACTACTAAAACTAAATTTTAAGAATGCGTTATAGAAGGCTCGTCTCCAATTATGTTTGCTAACAAATTATGATAAAAAGGAACGAGGTTTAATTTTTCTTGATGTGAAAAGATAACAGACGTCGAATTGCACGAAACTAGCTTAAAGGATTCCTGCCGGTCGAATTAACCGAGACGAGAATACGTTTCGCATGTTTCTTCTGCCCGACTGCGCAGCATTCGTCTGGAATACCTCGATTTAGGGAACCCCAGACGAGTGTAAACGTGATTTGAATATTTCAAACGCCAATAGCAGCGGCCGCGAGGTTTTCAGCGTATCTGACATACTATGAATTATTTTCGGTATCGTTGAGTGTATTGAAATAATCCGGCGAATATTTTACAGGTGGAATATTTGTCAGATTATTTCATATTGCGCAGACACTGTGGTACGTGAAACTGATAGCGGTTGGAACTGGATTGGCGGCAAATTTATTATACGTACAGAGTTGAATCCGATGGATTCAAAAAGTGGTCATCGTACCTCTATCTGTCGTACTTTTAAATTAATTACTTTATAGACAGCACAGATAGTGTTTGTAAATTTAACAAGATATAAAAACAATATTTTCAATTATAAAACAAACATATCTAACAGATTGTGCGCCACAGTGTCCTATGTGTGCTTTACAATCATTTGCCCAATTCATGTGTACAATGTCGAATTTCAATATCTGTTAGGAAGCTAAAATTTTAACGAAAATTTGTTTTTGAGAAGTTTTTTTAATGAAATATGTTTGCATCATTGTTTATTCATTTTGATTGCTCGCCGATAGAAGCAGTTGGGAATATTGGCACAGGTTTCACATATGCGGAAAGCTATCGGATATTCGCTTTGTAGTTTGACACAGTCAACGTAAAGGATACGTAACTGCTTGGCGGCGAATCGATGCTGTCACCGTGACGAATACCAAATGCGTTCGTTATGTCACATGAGCTCGTGAGCGGAACATGTCGTAACTTCCGGACAGAGACGATCCGATTCTTGCGGAAACAAATGTGAGATATTTCGGCGAGAAACGGGAGTCTCGATCAACGAAACTGCCACATCTCGGGGACAGTTTCGCTGCGCCATGGACGACGGGATAGGATGGGGAACGGATGGGCAGAACGGAAAAGACCGGGTCCTCGTCGGATTCCGCGAGTATTGGCACATACGTAATCTCCTTTCGGCCTCGTTTCCGGAAATCGCTGATCTTCCGAGGAGCATTCCGGTCCCTGCATCCCGGTCGCCGGGGTTTAGGCGACCGGGATCCTCACGTGGAATAGTTTCGCGGCGCTTCGACGAGATAGCTCCCGAAAATTTACTACCCTCGTCGTACGTGCAGTAACTTAGGTTAAGGTCTGAGAAGACGCACTCGAGAGGAGGGGTGGAAGAACGGGAAAACGTACTCCCCGCCACGCCGATTTAAAGTTGAAGAGTGCTCTCGATTCCGGGCCGATGACACTCTTCTCGGGATTCCCGACGACGCCGTTTCTCTTTATCGCACCCATCCGCAGGTACGAATGCGCGCTCCGCGGTTTACGTTGCTATGTGTAATACAGTAACAAGTACCGCATACCGGCTTGTCATGCATTCCACAAGATATGTTAGCGAGTGCGCAGTGCCGCCTCGGGATCAATAATATTTCAAGAATTTCAGATGTCTGTTTTTTGCTACATATTTTGATGTAAAATTTTGTTATCCTTATTTTCTATTGCACAAAACGTAAATTAGTTATTTTTCAAAAAATATTTATATTTCCCACAAAACAAAAATTATAAAATAAAACTTTGACCAAATGCAGAACGCGAAGAGAAACGTAACAGTCAGAGACTTTGCGAGATAAAATATTTATATTAATTTTCTATAGTTGATAATGATATTATCGATTATATATTTGCAAAATTCTACGTCAAAACATTACTCCATTATTTGACAGAGTAATGAGTTTTTCAAAGCTTTTTGAAAGCACCAAAAATGGGTCGACGTATGGATTTACCGTGTAAGCTTCCGAAAGCTTGCCGTCATCCGGCGCTACATCGATAACTCGCACCTGCGGACAGATAGAACAAATCTATCAGCGGCTATCGCGCGATACGCGCGTGTCCTGCACACTTTCACGTTCGAAAATCGCCGCAGTGGTGAGAGTGATCCTGAAATCGATAAGAGGAAACAGCGGGTGCTTTTCTCTAAAAGACGATCGGATAGTATTCAGCAAAGCGAGGTTACTCGAACAAGACTACGGTCGAATGACTATCGGCTTGTGATAAATTCTCGCAAGTTTAAAGGATGCCGTAATGGATTCGGATTATATATCTTCTCGGACGGTAGCTTGCCCGCCGGTTTTCTGACGGAAAAGAGAACGCGGAGACCGTGAAAACCCGTTGCCGCTGGAGCGAACTGCCGTAGCGCATCGTCAAGCGATTTCGGATACTTCGGGATATGCCGGGCGAAACGGGAAATTTTTGCGACATGCCGGAGCAAATTTCGCTTCAGCACATCGTTCGATTACCGCGCTTAGCGCGCCCGCGCGGACTTTTTAAAGCGTCGATCGTCAGCTGAAAGGATCTTTCCTGAGAATTGTGCAAAAGGGCAGCGTGGCGATAGTGTTAAGTGAAACGTTACAGTTTCTTCTCGACTTATATTTATACAACGAAGAAATGTTATGTCATAATATACGAGAAATGTTTGACGAAACGTATGTGTTAAACTTTACTGAAGACAGCGTAGAACGAAAAATCTTAAATTAGTTATTTTATATAAACATGTTCTAATAATAATTTAATTTTTCTTGATTATAAGATGAGATTCTTTTAAAATTATGAAAAATGTTAAACCTTAATAGAACGATTTCGTTATAGCACCGTAATTTTAATTAAATTCTTATACTTAGATTTCCAATATAGTTCGTTATGTCTGCTGACGTTCTATAATTAAGCTTCCATCCAAAATGACGTTAGCTATGCTTAATTACATTCGCTCATTACGCGAGGAGTAATCTACGATTGCAAGTAACGATCCATCGATCGTACCTCATTAAAATAGTGCTCATATTACAATTGCAATTATGCAGCCGAAAATCAAGAGATCTATCGAGAGCATTCATTCAGTGGTTGCTTGGTAAGTCAGATTCGTGTCGGAATAGCTCTCTTTCGTCGTCTTCTTTATTCTTACAAGA